AGTATCCTAGGGGTTATCCGCCCCAGCCCCTCCCCCGAACTGAGTTCGCCTGTAACTCATAAATAGGGAGCTCTCGTGGTCTAGGGGTTACGGTGTTCGCCTCTCATTCTATAGGTCCCGGGTTCAAAAACCTTACAGCGACTGAACCTTTTCATCTCTAAATTAATGTCCTCCTTTCACCTCCTTTCCTGCTTCCTCACAATGTTCTGTCGTCTGCTTTCGTCTCCACCACCCACCCCCCCCTTTTCCCCCTATCTCTTTTGACCCACTCTTCTGGGCTCCGGATTCTTCCTGCTGCCTTTCTACTGCCACTCTTTGGCTTTTTTGCTATCTTTCTACAGCCACTCTTTGGCTTTTTTGCTGTCTTCAGCCACACCCCTGATCTTAGGGTAGTTAAGATCTAACACCTAACCTTCTCGGACAAGGGCGAAAAAATCTCGGAGGTCCTGTGTCCGATTTACCTTCGTGGTCCTAAAATCAAGAGTAGGATTCAGCCGTCAACTGGACGGAACTGATAATACTTAATGTGTCCCGCACCCTCAAATGACATTATGCAGTTGCGAGCGCCGTAAAACACTTACCCCCCCCCCCCCCCCCGAAAAAACTAACCCAACAGAAATACAACAGGCACGCTCAGTCTTCGGCGATCAGAAAGCATATTATGTCAAATCGGGATGATCTGTGCATGACTGCAGTTGTTGTTTGCTGCTGCTGTTGCTGTTGTTTTTTTTGTTGTTGTTTTTGGGGGGGGGGTTGGGGGGTGGTTATTGTTTTACTTACCATCCCTTTATTGTCAGCCTTGATATTTTGGAGCACTGATTGTAATGAGTGCTGTCGTGTCCATGTTTGTCTTTAACTCAAGTGAACAATTAATAACCACTGGAAGAACCGCTGAGCTTTTGAAAATACCCCATTCGTGTCTAGTAAGCCATGCTAACCTTAACAAGACCAAAATCTTTGCGTGTTCCCATCAGGTCGCCTAAGGCGGGAAGGGTCAGAGGGCAGAAAGTTGGTTGAGGACATTGAGGGCTCAGGGTCTGATCATGAGGAAATTAACGTGGACACCGAAGACATTGTGTCTCTTGAGGAACAGAAAATCCTCAATGAAGGTAAATCTTTAACAGATTGAATCGTGTCGGAAAAAGAGAAATAAGTGGGCTGGAAGAAAATGGTAAATAAGGAAAATAAAGTATTTCTTGACGTTCGAAATACAAACAGACTGTTTAGTATGAACCAAAAAGACATCCGGAACTCACCCCCCCCCCCCCAAGAAAAAATGACAACAGCAATACCTCCGAGATTTTTTCGCCCTTGCCCGAGAAGCTTAGGTGTTAGTGAGAAACAGCTACATAATAGAGATCATAGCAGCAACGGCACCAACAATAGCAACAGAAGTAAGATGGCAAAGAAAATCGTGTTTGTAGATAATCGCTGGCTACTTTGATTTGAAAGAAATGAGGTTTAGTATTACATGTACCTAGGTAACAAAACTCTACGGGTTGATCTTGTTTTCTTCTGTCACGTGTCTCAACAAACAGCAACGTGTAGGCCAACAGACATCTCTGAAAAACTTTCTCAAGTTTTGGCTCTATAATTCACTGTATGCTGCCGTTGTCTCCCAGCTGTATCGTGCTGACGAAGGGACTTTGGTGAACGATATAGAATAAAGCAATCGGTTGACCTTAAAGTGCTAGGACAGCGCCATCTGCATACAATTCGACCGATTTGTTATTTCTTTTAAGTTTGCTTCTTTACTTAAAGTTCAGGTCTTTTCAAATTTTACCCACAATAAATCTTTTTTCTAAATATCAAATTCAATTCAAACTTAATTCGATTCCCTAGTACTAGTACAACATGGTTATCACTTTTCTGCCTCTCCTTAGCCAGAACTCGAAACTTAGGCTGTTTTGCAAGGTCTGGTGAATTTTGCCCATTTATCGTCCGGGGTGGGGGGGTCCTCTCTGTCCGTCTTGCTAGTTCCTAGCACTTAATAGCGGTGATTGTCCCAAACGTTCTCTATGGGTGTTTTGTTGTGTGTGGGGGTTTTTTTGGGGGGTTGGGTTTTTTTGCTGAGGTTTGAGGAAGGGGGGGGGGGAGGAGGACCGCTCTGGTAGGATTTGCCCTTTCTTTTCAAGCAAGGATCTATCGTCATTATAATCTCTCCCTTTCCTTTTCTTTGTATGTTACTCTATAGTAATACCTCTAATCTACATGTACTTCCTATATATATATATATATATATATATATATATATATATATATATATATATATATATAGCCCTGGCAAAGCTGTGTCATGCATAGCAGTCAAAATTGCCTGCCAAAACGCAAAAGGCCATAATATGACCTAATTGTATTGCAAGTGCCTTGAAACTCTTTCTGACCGGCTGTTCCTTCCCCAGGAGCTGAAGAGTCCAGGGCCGAGTGGGTGGGCTTAATCCTTGTGGTCCTCCTGCTCCTCCTGTGTTTCTGCCCCTGTCTCGTCTACTACTGCACCAAGTATATATCTCTCTCTCTCTCTCTCTCTCTCTCTCTCTCTCTCTCTCTCTCTCTCTTTCTTTCTCTCTCTCGCTCTCTCTCTGTATATATATACATATATATCGCTCTCTCTCTCTATCTCTATCCCTCTCTCTCTCTTTCTCTCTCTCTCTCTTTCTCTGTTCAAATAAGGTGGGCTCCAAACAGGCAGTCAGGGGTGCGGCGTTGTGATTGGCCAGTCCAGTAATGAGTGAGGTGGGGCAGGCGGCAAAGAGAGATGAGCGGAAAGACACGTTACGTGAGCCACTCCAAAAGTGATGTGACAGACTAACCTTGGGCATTGAGCTAGCCAAAAAGACAGTAAAAAATGAGGAGAGCGTGTAGTGTGTGATTTTTCGGTAAGTTACCTTTGCATTGCTATAGCGGGAACCTGCCTATAGCGGGATTTTTCTTCTGGAACTAAAAGTCCACTATAGCCATGTTCTACTCTATATGTATATTATATTCACATATAATAATGTATGATGTAGGTGTGAGGGCCCATGTGTATATAGGTGTGAGTGTTTGTGAGTATTTGGGGTTGTTGTTTTTTTGTGTAGGTGTTTTATGTCCCCATCAACAAGATTTAAATCATTTAGGAGACGGATTCCGACCTTGCCTGTCAGAGCCAACCCAGTCTGAGAGGAATACATGTACATTATCTCAGCAGAAAGACCGATATACCCGATTTTTAAATTTCCCAATTCGGGAATCGAATCCGGGTCTCTTGCGTTCGATATCATAGCGCCTAACTGTTACACTACAGACACCATTTGGCCGCTTTTAAGTGCAAGGGGCTATCCCGAAAAATGCTGTTTTGAGAAAATCGAAGGTAAAATTTTTGCCCGTTGTTCAGTTTCTTTAAAAGACAAGGAGAGATTTCTCTATAACCAAACAAATATAATTTACACATCAATGAAACCAAACTTCTCCTATCGGTAGGGCAAAATCCACTTTTGCTGTTGGTCAAAATTTCTGGAAACCCCCAAAACCTGGGTTAGCCTGCTTGTCCTTAAAAGCGACCAGTAGTGTGTTTGTTTGTTTGTTTATTTTATGTATGGGCTTGTGTATGTATGTGAGAACATTGTTCAGTGTATGTATGACTTCCAGATCTCTTATCCTCTGTTTCAGCACTCGCACTTACTTGACACACAGCACATTTACATGTTAGGATTAGAGTTACACACTGTGCTGAAAACTACTGTTAATCTGTTTTGTGAGTGTTTCACTCTCCTGAATTTGTTACTGAAAACTGCCGAATTGAATTATTCAATAGACCCACAGTGTAGTAATAGAGGGTGCAACACCTGTGAGGGTGGAATAGAATTCTCAAACCTTCCGTGCTCACATGTCCGTGGATGGTTGGCGAGTGCCCTTGTGTGATCTGCTCCTTCTTTTAAATCAAACATCTATCGGTGGGTGGTTGGCGGGTGCTGTGGTGTGGTTTGCTCCTTCTTTCCCATCAAACATCTATTGTCCTGATCTCTCCTCCTTCTTTTTTGTGTATGTTACTCTCTTGTTACACCTCTAATCTTCGGCACTCATATGACCTTTTTGTGTTGCAAGTGTCGTAAAACATTTACTAAAACTAAACTAAAACATATATCGTCCTTATCTCCCTTCTTTCATGTTTGTGTTCGTTACTCTCTTGTAACACCTGACATTTTTCTCACTTTTATGACTGCATTATGTTGCAAATGCTGAAAAACGTTTACTAAAACTAAAACTCAGTTATCCAAATGTGATCTACAATGATGTATAGCCCCTGTCTTCTTACATTCCTATTTTTTACCTTTTACCATTGGGCCAAGTGCCCCACTATTAAAAGATCGTATTTGTATTCAGTGGTGCGTTAAACTCACACAAAAAAGACGGGAAAAGCTGCACAGTTGTATCCCACAGGAAATTTGTCAACGAAAAGGTTCTGAGAAAACCAGCAGACGACGATGAGAGCGATGACAGCGACGATATCGGGGGAGAGAAAGGTGGTGACGAAACAGAGAAAGATGACGACGAAACGGAAAAAGATGACGATGAAACTGAAAAAGAAGAAGAGGACGCCCCTCTTTTGTGAGCAATAAGAGGGGAAAAGCGTCGCTGGGGTGGGGGGGGTGTAACTGTAACTATATCCGTCGGGTTTTTCCAGTAACCTCTGTTATATTGTGGTAAACGTTTGAGTTCCTATACTCAATATCGTTTTTGCCCTCACGATTTGTGACTGTTCGTTTGTTGACTTTTTTTTTTATAATTTCAAAACAGAATTAAAGTCATGTATTATATTAAGCTAAATACCTGATTATTAAGATGCCCTTGTTTTTTCGTGTCATGTTTCTCAGTGCCTACGTGTGTATGTGCAGTCTTATCCAAAGTTCATACAGACAACAAAAAGGAAAGTGCGTGGAAGGTGTAGGGGAGAAATATTTGTTATCATAGTTTCTACTTTACCTATTAAGCTAGACATTACGGACCGCTCAATAATTAAT